ACACATTTTCTTTTAAATTTGCAAAAAATTCCTATGATCACCCGAGGGGGTGGGAGACAGCTCAGTTGGCAGAGTTCTTGCCTTGTCAACATGAAGCCGAGTTCCATCCGTAGAACCCATACGAAAAGGCTGGCTGTGATGTCTGTGCTTGCAATCCCAGTAAGCCAGGAGGAAGAGAAAGGTAGGCAGCCCTTGGGGTTCTCTGGCCAGCCAGCCAAGCCTACTTGGCGAGTTCCAGGCCAGTGTGAGACTCTCTCAAAAATAATAAGGTGGATGGCTCCTCAAGACTGATCCTGAAGTTGACCTCTGGCCTCCACATACCCACACACCCGCCCACACCCCATTTGTATCCACAACACAAAGGCCCATTTTCTTTGGGAGTCATCTCTCACTGCCAAGGTTTAGGCGGCATAAACATGTTCTTACGTAAAAAGTCACAAAAGCACTAAGCTGGGGTAATAAGCAGATTTGAAGATGATGATTGTGTTTTGGGGATGAATCACTACTTGTCTGAACTGTGGGGAGGTCGAAGGTATTTTTAATTTAATGGATTAATCATGGATGTCTCAAGTTCTCGCTCCTGCCCATGAAAGCAATGCAGGGACTTTGCAGGAAGTTATAAATCATGTCAGTATTTGGGCCTCATCTCTGGAAGCCTGGGCTATGGGCAAGTTATACTAATAATTCGTGCGAGATAGTATAGCTTCCTGGAAGGGCTCCTTTAAGCGGCTAGGTCAGGCAGCCACAGAAGTGGGGGGATCCCAGAAGATGGTGGTAGCCCAGTCTGTGTATGGGATCCCAACTCTGCTACCAAACTGGAGAGCAGGATGGTTCTAGAGAGAAGCAACCTATATTTTGAATGGTCATTTTTTTCTGGGTCTTCATTTTCTCATCTGTATAATGTGCTGGAGGCCCTGCAAGGGGCCACTAGCTTTGATCATCAGTGTCTACCAACTATGTCTAACTATGGCTTAAGATACACCATAGCTTCCCCCAAGTCTGCCCCTCCTGCATCTCATGTATTTCCCAAACATCTTCCTGCCAGGCCAGGAAGGGACCAAACCAGACCTCCACCAGCACAGCTAGGCAGCTGAACCAAACTCTACCCAAGCTGCTCAGGGCCATCTTTCATACCTCAAGTGAGGTGGATGGTAAAAAAGAATAGGTCAGCATCATTACCCATGTTCCCCTCCTGCCTCCTGAGACTCTTTAGCGAGTCAGAAAGCCCTCTGAGAACCAGCAGGGCCTTCCTGGCCTCCTAGTCTCCTGCACAAGAGCTCCCTCCTTCGGCACCAAGCCATAGCCCACAAAAATCTTTATTCCCTCCTTCTGGAAGATTCCTACAGTGACCCAGTCCTCCTTCCTGGAAGCCTGCACCATCAGGAGTCACTGAGTGTAAGGACTCACTGAGTCTCCTGGGGAACTGGCTGGCACCCAGCCTTGTGTTCTACCAACTTCCATCTTGCTGAGGCCAATAGTCTTCCACTCACTGCTTTTTCCTTAGAGTCTCTTTCAGTGGCTGGTTCCGACCTGCTCTGAGCTGTGCACTAGGTGTGGGGACAGAGGATGCAGGGCTCCAGAGGATGCAGGGCTCCGGAGGATGCAGGGGGACAGAGGATGCAGGGGGACAGAGGATGCAGGGCTCCAGAGGATGCAGGGCTCCAGAGGATGCAGGGGTCCCGTCCTCTGTTTCCCCAAGTGTGCAGTCCAGAGAACCACAACAAAGACCTGACAACTGCCTACTCTACCCCACATCCAGATTCTCTAAGGGAAGCTTCATGGCATCCCAGAAGGATAAGCATTGGCCCTGGGTGTTGTCAAGGACTGTTTGTAGCTATTGATTATATGTATGTGTGATGTAAGGGTAAGTCACCCCAGTTCTCAGAGTCCCAGTGACCTTGTCTGTAAAGATAGGGATGGCACACAGTAGGTATTCAGTAAATGTCACTACTGTAATTATGGCTTACAGAATGCCCTATTTTTCATGTCTTTCCACGTAGATACACCTTGGTTCCTTCTAAGTCTGACAGAACTTTAACTCCTGTAGTACTTTGAAAACTTCCTGCCTTTTTCTGGGGTCAGCAGACCATTACGTTGTATCCTTGGGAGACAATCGTAGGATCTACTTTAGAGGTGATCCCATGAGGGTGTTGAGTGCCACACCAACTGCCTTCATGAGTGCTAGGAGCTATATATAGAACTCTATGGGACCAGGCCAGCCGTCCAGCAGGCCACACAATAAAGTAGGAAACAAGGGATCTGCCTCCCAGTGTACTCTCCCCACACTATCAACAGCCCTTCCTTTGGCTGGTAGGGAAGTCTTGAGTCTCTCAACAATTAGGGCATGGATCTATGAACCTCTCCTTCAGAAGGCTTTCCGGGCCAGGTGTAGTAGCTCATCTTCATTGTTAGCTGGACTGTGAGACACACCTTGGCACACTCATACAGATGTTATCAGAGAGAAAACCCGAGGTGGGAAGACCCACCCTAACTATGCCTAGAATCACCCTGTGATTTGGGGTCCTAGACTGAGTACAAAGGAGAAGGTAAGCTGAGCACCACCATTCACCTCTCTTTCTGCTTTTTGACTGTGATCGGCCACCTCACATTCCCACTGCCTTGCTTTTTCCTCCGTGATGGAGACGCATCCTCAAACCGTGAGCCCAGACAGGACCTTCATCCCTTGAGTCGCTTTTCATCAGGCAGTTTGTCATAGCAATGAGAGAAGTAGTTAAGATACTGGTAAGCAGTCCATTTCCCATCTTTGGAAACAGTCTAAGCCTAGAAATGCCCATGGTACTGGGACCTCGCTCTTAAATCCATCCATACCATGAGCCCAGACTTAGCCTTCCAGGTCCCCAGGGGCAGAAGGTCTCAGCACAGGGGTCCGCTACATCATATATGAAGGAACTGGAGGCTTTAGAGCCTCCTCCAGTGGTGGAGACATCTAGGAGGTTTTCAAGCTGTTGTGCCGGAGTCTCGCCCTCTTCATGTTTGTCTTAGAGGAGATAAAGCGTACAGAAGCCCTAGCTCTCTCCTTGTGCCCTAGGCTCTTTAAGTTTTAAGATTTATTTCTATTTATGCAAGTGTACCTCTGTGTGTGGGTATGTGAATGTGAGTGTAGGTAGCTGTGGAGGCCAGAAGAGGGCACTAGATCCTCTGTAGCTATAGATGGTTGTGAGCCACCGGATATGAATGCTGAGAATTGAACTTACATCCTCTGGAAGATCAGGGAGCACTCTTAACTACTGACTCAACTCCCCAGTCCTGTTCCTTGGGCTCTTATCAAGTGAGGCTGGATAGAAGGCTTTAGGATACCAGATAATTGTACTTCTGCAGCCTGCCTGAGGATCTGAGGGGTTACAACATAAAGTAGGGCTCTTTTGCAACTAAATATTCAAAGCACCATCAGCCTCTGGTCATTACTTTCCAGAGTCAAATGGTGACATTCTCTGAAGAGCACATGTTCTACCTGGACCAATCCCTGCTAGGAATGTCCCCTACTACCTGCCTGCTGCACAGAAGTCTAGTCCCCGAATGACTCCTAAATCTCTAGGTTCCTGTTGGGGTATAACTAATTAGGAACACTTGGGTTACGATTGGTGAAACCCAGATACATATTTTTTTTTTAAATGGGCAGAGTCTCATGTAGCCCAGGCTGGCCCTAAACTCATTATATAGTCAAGGATGCCCTTCAACATCTTTCTGATTCTCCTACCTCTACCTCCTGAATGCTACCCTCTCAGTTTGTGGGGTGCTGGGGACCAAACCAGGGTTTTGTACATGCTAGGTGAACACTCTACCAACTGAACTAAATTGCCAGCTAGAACTCCAGACTTCAAAGGTACATCCCAGCTTGAGGGAAATTCTAATAAGATACTACGTGGACATGCACAAATATAAAAATCCCATGGACACTCTGTCAAGGTAAACACAGGGCCAGCTAAAGATGCCCAGTCATCCCTAAATGGCTAGCCACTCACCCTGGCTCCTCGAGGTCAGTGAAGGTGAATCTCATGATGTCATCATTCTTGACATCTTGCTCACTTTCTCCTGGGAGAAGTCCCAATCACCAGCTGTCACAGAGGATCTGGGAGCTGAATTGCCTCACTGTTCCCGGATACCTGAGTGCCTGCACCAGGCCTGATCAGAGACAGCTGGGCTTGGTGGGATGATGCTAATCCCCCTGACATGATGGTCCAGGATAGGACTTCAGGGAGACTGGAGCTTGTTTTGATGGTGGGTGGGGCCTGGCTGAGATGGCAAGCAGTATGATATAGAGGTAGGCTAACTCCAAAATGGCCCCAGACAGTAAGTGTTTTTCCTTAAGAGCCACCCATAAAGTGGGTGACAGCATAGCCACTTGAGAGTCCCTGCACAGTGCTCATCCAGGGCTGGCTACAAATGTACTCAGACTCTGGCTTGGAAAACTGCTAGGTGAGGGAGGAGGGCGGTCAGGAGGGGGTTCTTCCTGGCCTATTATGGCCGGTAAGGTCTGGACCTGAGCCAGTGAAAACAACCCCTCCTAACGTGTCCATCCTCACCGGCAGAGAGGAGGCTCACGGAGCCCTGTGGGGGAAGGGCTGCTGAGAGAAACAGTGCCTGCTAGATGCCCAACAATGTGGTGTCACGTCACCTGGAAGAGCAGTGGTGACTTGGACACAGGTTCTGTAATTGCTAGATCCGGAGATCAAGGTATTAGGTTGCTTCTGGGCCACACCTGCCCCGTACTTCCCAGTGGCCACTGGGGCCTCAGCAGCCCAGGTGACATGCCTGCCTGACTCATCCCCAAGCTCCCTCCCCTGGCATTTGGATCCCTTTCACCTGAGGTAGCCTTGGGTAAGCCAGACCCAGCACTTTCTAGTCCATTTCCCTTTATTACAGCGGATGGGCTATTTATGTCTTTCACAAGACAAAATGCAAGCGAGAATGAGGCTTGCTCGGAGCAGCAGCATGGAGGGTGCTTTGAGGGGACAACATGCACGGAGCCATTTACTAACCATTCACCTGCAGGACGTGGGTCTGGAACAGCTGCTCGTGGCCCAGTGCGTGGCAGGTGTAGTTGCCCATGTGGATTGTGGTCACCTTGGTGATATACAGGGACTCATCCTCTCCGAAGTCCTGTGGGCAAAAGGATGATGATGAGACTCACGTCTGTTGAGTGGACTGGACAGCTGGTGAGTGAGTTTTCCAGGAAAAACGTCTCCCTCCCTGGTGCCGCCTCCTTCACGTGGCCGTGACCTTTCCTACTCTGCAATCAAATTCCCTGTAGCTCCTGGGAATGCTGGCTTGTTTCACAGGAATCTTGCTCACCTGGTGGAAGGCTTGATTCCCGAGGGAGGGCCTTGTTGAGAGCAAAGACGGACAAACTTTCTTAAAGGGCTAGATGGTAAATATTTCAGCCTCCAGAGTCCTCCAGTTTTTGTCAACTCCTTGGCTCTGCCATGACAGCAAGACAATAGGCAGGATGATATGTGTGTGAATGAGTGTGGCTGTGTTTGACGGCGTCCATGGACTCGAGCTTGCTTAACCATGGTTCGAATTCCATCTAGATCCCCAAGGGAGTATAGGCAGGTTATGGGATCAGAGTCACCCAAGGTAAGAGGGACAGAACTGGTGGGAATATGGGACAAACCAAAACAAGGCAGGGACATGAGAGAGAAACAGAAGGGCCCATTCCCAGGGTTTCCACAGGAAGTGACCCAGTGCGGCTCGGCTTAGTGGTCCTCGCAGCCTTTTAGGATGGCTCTTCCTGGGTCAGGACACAGGGAAGGGGTCCAACGAACACAGGGCATCAGCAACTCTCTGGTCAGCTGTATTCTTTCTTACAGAGCTGTTTATGAAGCCGGGCCCTTCCAGACACCTCTGGCCGACAAGTTAGGGCTCAAGATTTCTTAGTTGTCTGTGGAAATCCCTCAGTAGGCCTGGCTTTAGCTACCAGACATCTCCAAGGATGTGGGGCTTGGCACTATTGAGACCTTGAAGGCCTCAGCTTATGGGTAAGAAAAATGGCTGCCCAGGGTTGTATGTTGGAGACGCGGGGACACCTGGCATAGATACTCAGGAGACCCAGAATCGGCTGCAGCTCTGCCATTGACCAAAAGCCCTGTAGTCCCCACCTATAAGCTGTGGATAAAACATGTGCCCTGGCTGCCTAATGCGGACATTGGGGACCCAGCAAAAGAACGCAAGGGAAGCCAAGTGTAGGGGTACATGCCTGCAAATCCCAGCACTTGGGAGGTAGAGGCAGGAGGATGAGGAATTCTTGTGAGCTCGAGGCTAACCTGGGCTATATGAGAAACTGCCCTAGTTTACTCTCTTTTGCCGCTATAAAACACTTACCAAAACCAACTCGGGGAGGAAAGGGCTTATTACAGCTCACAGGCTATAATCCATCATCAGGGGAACCCAGGGCAGGAGCTCGAGACAGGAACAGAAGCAGAGTCCATGGCTTACTCAGCCATCTTCCCAAGAGTACCACCACCTGCCGTGGTCTGGCCTTTCCTACATCAATCGCTAATCAAGAAAAGGCCCCACAGACTTGCCTACAGGTCCATCATATGGAGCCAATTCCTCAGCTGAGGGTCTCTCTTCTCAGGTGACTCTAGTTTGTGTCAAGTTGGCCAAAACTAAGGAGCACAGACTCAGACCAAACCAAACCAAATCAAACCAGACAAACCAGACCAAACCAAACAACCAAACCAAATAAACCAAACTAAACCAAGCCGAAACAATACCCAAGAAAAAGGAATGCACATAAAGATGTTTTCTGGGATGGGATGCACGGCGCACACTCGGGGCACTGTTTTTCTTGAGAGTAACACCGAGCTCTTTCTTCTGTCTTCTCCAAGCTTCCTTTGTCTGCAGAGGCACTGTGGTGGCAGGACTTAAGGCCACCAGCTACCATGCACAGGATGTCTGAGCAGCTTCGGGGGCCACTCCTTAGTGCCCTGTTCCTGCCCCTGCAGCGATGGCACTCTCCCTTGCTCACACCCCCAGGGCCTGATCACAACCACATGAGTCCCTTTAAAGATGTTGTTGGGGGCTGGGGATGTGGCTCAGTTGGTAGAGTGCTGGCCTAGTATGCACAGAGCCTGAGTTTGATGCCTAGAGCACACATGCACACCCGTAATCCCAGCATGTAAGAGGTGGAGTTGGGAGGATCAAGAGTTCAAGGTCACCCTCAGCTAGGTAGTGCATTCAAGGCCAGTCTGGGCTACATGAGCTCATATTTCAAAGGTGGGTGGGTGGAGAGATGCTTTTGGGCTAAATTAGCCCAATGAAGGATGAGAGAAAGGCACGAAGCTGTGGCAGGAAGGTTGATAGTGAGCATGGCTCCTGCTTTCAGTATTAGTAAAAAAACAGCCCGCCATGCGCTCATCTTAAAGAAATCTGGAACCCTGCACCAGACTGTGAAACATCACTTTGCTTAAAAAAGCCCATCCCTGCCCTTCTGTGGAAGCCTCAGTAATAAAAGCACACAGCACATAGCTGACTTAGCCTGTGTCATAATAGAGCCGTAAGGGCTCACACCTGAGTTGCTGATGAGAAATTAATGGCTGGTCAATGCTGGGATGACATTCTGTCTAAGCTGTTTCCTGTGTTGAGAAAAATAGGTTTTGCTTGGAGTCCAGTGGTGGGATGGCAGGCCTCTGAAAGATGGCTGGGAAGCCGGAGCAGCCCTGTGTGTGTGTGTGTGTGTGTGTGTGTGTGTGTGTGTGTGTGTGTGTGTGTACTGGGGGACATGTAGCTCGTCCTTACGGGGAAGGGAGTAGGGAGGGAAAACCAATGCTCTGGAGATCCAGGCAGACTGCAACCCAAAGTGCAGAACCAGAGCTGCTTGCTGGGAGTCTAGTGCACGGTCATTTCAATTTTTCTTGACTCTTCACATCCTAACCCTGTTAGAGTCCTTGAGGGTAACCTCAGGCTCCCGTGGCTCCTTCCTCTTGTCCCCACCTTGTCAGGGTTGCTAGTCGCCTGGGTCACAGCACAGGTGAGGTGGCTGTTCAAAGTTAAACTCCCAGGGGTCACCTGAGAGTGGTACCCCATTAGCATTGGCACACAGAGTTCAAGAGGTTACTTGTGTCAGAATCTAATATGTGGCTAGCTCCTCCTGACGGCCAGTGTTCTGTGTCTAGAGATTCAACAAACCAGAGGAGAAGATCGTCAGAAAAAACAAAAGGCGCCTGTGCAGACTTTCTTCTTGTCAACATCCCTGAGAGTAGAGCAAAGTAACTATTTACGTAGCATCTCTATCATGTTACCCCATATACATTATGTAGAGATGGTTTAGGGGAGGGTGTGCAAATGCTGTGTCATTTTATACAAAGGACTTGAACATCTCCAGATTTACATCACCTTGTTTTATCCTCTGGAAAAAAAACAAACCAACAAACCAAACATAAAGCAGACACCCAGTCCCGTGGGGTGAGTTGGTAGAATCTGTTTGAAACTATCTGATTTCTTTTACCATCTCTATCATGACATCCTGTATCCAGCCACCAAGGTCTCATCTGGGGAACAGGGACTCCCTACCTTTGTCCCCATGCAGCCTGCTCACGCACACAGCGTCCCACCGAACAGCTTCCTCAGGCAAACGCCAGATGGCGCACATCCTCACCCAGCCCTGGATGATGGTGGCAGCGCTGTCCCCAGCCTCAGCGATCTCCTTCCACTCTGCCCCGTCCCAGCGTGCCCAGCCTGGCTTCCCACTGCTTACGAGACCTTGTCACTTGCTGTCCCCCTCCCTGGAGGCTGCAGTCTATCTCTGTCTTCTCCAAGGGTGCTCACATCTCATCTGACCTCCACCCCAAGGCACCACCGGTGAAACACACTAGACTTGAGCTCCATGAGGGGAGGGGATGCTTGGACTCTGTGGTCACTGCTGTTTCCCTAGAGCAGAGTCCAGCCCTTCATCTTCAGTGGTATTTATTGGGTGGGTAGTAAGCCACTGAGTGAGGCGTTCTGCTGGGGTAGAGTCCTGCTCTGATTCTTTGGTATGAAAATCTGGGTGTCCACCTCCTGCCTTCATATCTGATCAAGTATTGATTAGCCATGCAAGGTAAAACCATGGGAGTGGTCACCACAAAGTGGCTGGAAGAATGGCAAAGAGTTGGTCCCAAGTATTCGTGTATATGTGCGTGTGTGTGTGTGTGTGTGTGTGCAGGTGCGTGTGCACATGTGTGCAAGTGCATGTCGGGCAAGAGGTTAACACTGGTGCCACCACTTTGATGTTTTTAAAGAGAGGGTCTCTTCATTGCTGATGTGGATGTGCTAGCTGGCCAGGGAATCCCAGGGATCCTCCTGTCTCTGCCTCCCCAGCGCTGGGATTACAAAGTGCACCGCCACACTCAGCTCCCCCGCCATGGGTTCTGGGGGTTGAACATAGGTCCTCATCAATCTTAGGCACTTTACTGACTGAGCCACCTACCCAGGTCTGGTCTCATCCTGTTCCCACTTCCTGTCTGTTTCTTCCCTATCCTGTAGCCCTCCGAGGGAGTCTGTTCTTTTGCATCCTTCAGGTCAGGGCACCTGGGATGGACTGAAGGTTTAGCTCAGGGCAGCAGCAGATAGAAATGTCCTTGTGCCCAGCTCCAAACTCTTGACTATACACCCCTGAAAGAGTCTCCTAGCCTCTGCCTGCTTCTCTTGTCTCTCAAGTGTAAGTCCTTGTTCCCTGTGAGCGGAGCATGCCCCCAGGGAGTGAGTCCTGGGAAGAGCTGCACCAGCCCCTGGGGACAAGGAGCCAGCCAGACACTTCACAGCTCTTCTCTTAAGTACAGAGCACATCACCGCCTGTGGTGTTAGCTCAGGGAGAGCCCGCCTCTGTAATAAATAAAATAATCTCTCTAGGCTAAAACAATAGACATCATATAATTACAGAACGAAATGCATATTGTTTTCTGGATATGAATACTCGCTGCAGAAATCAAATTACCTCATTGGATGTGAGAGAATTACTTTAAAAAATTGATTTATAAGAAGCTACATAAAACTAAGCCTGCAATCCTTCCTCCTCTGAATGCTTCCTGAGATGTGTCTGAATACTGCTATCAATGCTTGATTGCATCTCTGTAATTGTTTTTTTATGGATAGCTTTTTCCCTCTGATACATAGAAATG